GGGTACCTTGGAATGGGGGCTTGGGGGTGCCAAGGTCAGGACGGTGTCCAGGGAGTTCGGGGGGATCCCAATGGTCTGGGGGGGGAAAAATGGGAAAAATGAGGGAAAAATGAGGGAAAAATGAGGAAAAAAGGGGAAAATGAGGGGAAAAAGGAGAGAAAAATGGGATAAATGAGAAGAAAAAGAGGATAAAACGAAGGAGAAAAGGGGGAAAATAAAGGGAAAGGGGTAAAAATGAAGGGGAAAAATGGGATAAATGAAGGGAAAAGGGGTTAAATGAAGGGAAAAGGGGGGGGGGTCCCCCAAATGGGGGTCTCACCTTGCTGAGGTGGCTCTGGCTGAGCCCAGCCTGGAGGCCGCTGGAGAAGCAGGAACTGGGGGAGCCCGAGAAAAACGGGGCCAGGGGGGGCCCCAAAACCCCCCTGTCCAGGCCAGGGCAGGGGGAGGGGACCTGGAATGGGAGAGACCCCAAAAATGGGGAGAGAGACCCAAAAATGGGGGGGAGAGAGACCCCAAAAATGGGGGGAGAGACACAAAAAATGGGGGGGAGAGACCCCAAAAATGAGGAGAGACCCCAAAAATGAGGAGAGAGCCTCAAAAATGGAGAAAGAGACCCCAAAATGCCCCCCAAAAGGATGGTTTCTTGGGGGCTTTTGGTTTTTTTTTTTTTACCTTGTTCCTGCCGGGCCCGAAGCCCCCCAGGATGGGCCCGGAGGGGTCTCGGGCTTGGGGGAAAATTCTGGAGCTCAAATCCTGCTTGGGAAAAATGGAAGGGGTTAAAAAAAGGTGTGTGTGGGGGGGAATTCCCAAATTCCTGGGTGTCCCCCAAGTCTGAAACTCCCCTCCAAAATCCCAGATTCCACCCCAAAATCCCACTCATGGCTGGAATTCCGAGGTCCCAGGAAACCCAGGGAGTTGAGGGAGTCTCCCAGGCCTAACCCCTCCCCAAAAAATCCCTGGATTTCACCCCAAATCCCCCAACCCACTGCCTGGAAGTCAAAAGTGCCAATTAAAGGAGCATCCCAAGCCTAAACCCCTCCCAAAATTCCCTGGATTTCACCCCAAAACCCCCCCCCAACCCACCGGCTGGAAGTCGAAGGCGTCGGTGGGGCCGGGGGGGTCACCGGGGCCCATCCTGGGGGTCTTCACCCCCCCCGGGGCTGAGGGTCGGCCCTTGAACCCTTTGGCAGCTCCTGAAATAGGGGGGGAGGGGGGGTCTCAGAGGGTCTCAGAGGGGGAGAAGGACCCCCCAAAAAGGGGAGGGGGGTGTGTTTTGCTCACCTGGGCAGGGCAGGAGGCTGCGCAGGTTCAGGTAGGGGTTGAGGGGCAGCCGGAACTCCTTGGGGGGCTCCCCCAGCAGGGACACCTGGAGGGG